CTGCTGGCCAGAAACTGACCTTCAAGATTGACGTCACAGGTAGGACATATCTTGTCTGAATTACAGCAGAGGACAATAAAGTAATACTTGTGATAACTATGACACAGTGCCTTAGTTGCAATAGTCTGGGCTTTGTTGCACCCTGTAGGGTTCACCTGATTTTTCTCTACGTGATTGCCTTGGCTTGTAGAAATTGGAATATTTGGCTCTAGCATGGCACAAAGGCCTATCTCATTCTTAATCTGTCTATATAATAATTACAGATATAAATATAATAGAAGTAATAATCAACATATTATTCAGATCTCTCCTATGTCTTGGTTCCCAAAGATTGATTCTTGTGCAGTGAACCTCTCAAACGGAAAGAGCCATTCAAAAATTCACTTCTTGTTAGATTTCTCATCCCATTTCTGAAAACTCAGAGGCTGAAATAGGCTTTATCAGTTGCAATTTCAGCAGCGACACTTACCGAGATGGGTTGAAAACTCATCCCTTTTTCTGAATTTGTGCTGAGTTCTGAGATGCATTACTGCTTCTGCCAGCTGCTCAATGTCCCTTTGTCATGAAAGATTCATGGCAATTGTTCTTGTGGAACAGGGTTCATGAGGTGCCCGAGCAGCTTTAAGCATGTGATGCTAAAGAAAGTGTTGATGATGCAAACATCTTGGGTACCATGCCAGCCATGATCCTGACTTACCTGAGCTCTGTAGGGAGATCACATTTCCTTTGTACCTTTCACAGTCACGTTTGTGACAGTGGAAAAGACCATGAAGGGTCTGTTCCAGAAGCCCATACTGCTATATTTGTGTCCTTGACATTTCACTGTAGGTCTTAAGTAAAAGGGATATGTGAGATTTTGGTGATATGCAGGACAAGATCTTTTTGGGAATGTTTGAATTAAATGTTTTTTGCATGGAGGCTTGCAACCATAGGATTGATGTCAAGGACCCTCTTTGTCCTCTCCATTCCTAGGATCTTGCTTCCCTAGTTTTCACATGGCAATTCAGAAGGGGTAGATATAGCTCAGTGAAGGCAATTGGTTTTGGCAAGTGGCAACCTAAATATTTTCCAAACATTCGCACAGAAATCTGTAAGACTGATCTCATTTTAATCCCTCAATCACTGTTTTCTTTCCTTTCTGCATTCAGAGCCAAAACCTGCATTTATAAACCAGGAAAAGGTCCAGAAGGAGGTGAAGGCTGTCCTGACAGAAAGTGCCACCCTCAGCTGTGAGGTAGCACAGGATGCAACCGAAGTGAAATGGTACAAGGACGGAAAACTGCTTGTTTCCTCTAGAAAATTCAAAATAGAAACTGTGGGCAAAACCCGGCGCCTGGTTATAGAGCAGCTGGAGAAGAAAGACGCTGGAGAATATATCTGTGAGGCTGCAGGCCAGAAACTGACCTTCAAGTTGCAGCCAACTGGTGAGGACTCAGCTAAGCATCATTCTGTATGGCTTAGAGGAAAACTGGGTATTCCCCACCCAGTGCCCATGGTGCAACCACTATTTTCCCTGGAGCTTTTTAATCTAGCAGTGTGGAGGTGGGAAATCTGGCTGAAGAACTTTTTTTTGGCTATGGAAAAGCCACGTGGTTTTTTTGCTTAGTGTTTCCTTCACACCCCCCATCACCCAACCTTTTTAAGCGGTGGGGAGGTGAAAGTAGCAGTGGGAAGTTCTGAAGAGCAGAAACAGAGCTATGGAGAAAGGTGACTAAGAGAAGCTGGTCTGCTGGTGTGTGTGCTCCAAAACTGCCCAGTTTTGTGACAAAGCATTGTACAAGATAAGGAAGAAGCCAGGAGAAAAGGAACAGAACTAGCAGAAAAGAAAATAGGCCATAAATTCAGATTTTGCATATTAGTATTTCTTCTTAATTAGGTCTAAAATCCTAAAAACAGGAGAGGAAATAATTATGCAGGTCATTTGGTTTCTAAGAAACAAGCTTTTTGTGGGCAGCAGATAAAATGTATATTTGCATTTCCTTTCCTTTGTTTCTTTTCTAAGCAGAAGCTCTGGGTTGCCTGACAGATCACTTTCTTTCTTCCCCCTCAGCAAAAGATAACACCAGCTGCAAATACTCAGCCATGTTCCCTGGGTTATTACAGATTATGGATGAGCTGGTGTTGTGAGTCATGAAAGGAGAGTAATAGAAAATTGCTGTGTTAAGGATTTGAGATTTAAGTTAGTAGTTTTTGTATTTTAATGTCTTTCCTAGAACCAGAGGCTAAATTTGAAAAGAAAGTTGTCCAGAAAGAACCTCTCATTGTTCAAGAACATGAAAGCATCACCCTGGCTACTTCAGTAACGCCTGAAACTGCTGCAGTAAAGTGGTTCAAGGATGGAACAGAAATCAAGGCGAGCAAGAAATATGAGATCAAGAGTGAGGGGGCGTCCAGGACCCTGACGGTGAACCTGGCTGAGAGCACAGACACTGCTGTGTACACTTGCCAGACAAAGAGCGACAAGCAGGAATTCAAAGTGCAGGTGAAAGGTGAGCAGAGAGCAGTGCACAGGTCTTGTCCCAGCACAACAGCTATCCTTCTGCCATGGTAGGATGGAAGCGAAGTCCGAACTCTTTCTAAAACTGTTCCAACGTCAGGGCTTCAATTGCTGTTGGAGCTGCTGTGGCTGCCCCACCACGGGCCAGCAAAGTTCTCCTGCTTCCAAAAAGCCAGATTTTGTCCTTTGCTGGCCACTCAGGGGAGCAAGGAAGCCTCCGATGGTGCTCCTCTTGGTGTCTGCTCCCTACTCTCATCATGCCATTCCTGTCTTCTCCTAACACCAGTAGCTAGGGCATGACAGAGCCTTATCTCTTCCCAAGTCTGCTCACCAGCATGACCAAGCTGATGAGGGTGTAGAGGGGTATTGTGTGAGGAGAAGATTTGTGAGTTAGTCACACAGGGAAACAGGACCTGCATTGTACCCTCCTCCGTTGGTGGGATGGTGCACTGAGATGCTGTTCCCTAGTCAAAGCCAAGGCTATAAACTGGCAAGAAGGATGAAGCACAGCTGGTCCATGGATGGAGAAGAGAGGGGTGATGTCCCAGAGCAAAGGCCTGCTCCTTTCTCTTCGGACACTCACGCTGGAGGTGTCTGCAGCTGAGATGCACTCCCTCAACTCCCTTTGGAGTCACTGCAAAGGAGTGGTTGCTAATAGGTCATGATACATCCAGTCTCTCGAAATATCTCCTTCAGGATGAGAGAAATCACACCCTGGATTTCTCTGTCTCCATTGTCTCTGTCTCCAGTGACTGCAGAGAGAAAGCTGGCTGGGGCTTATGCATCCATACAGATTTTTACACTTAGACAAATCAGGCTCTAATGTAAAAACACCACATGGTCTCATCAGGTAAAAGATTAGAAAGAAAGGAAGGCGATATCCAATCGTGTTTTAAGACACTGTTCTTGCTTTACAGAAAGAATTCCATGTCAAAGGAATCTCCCTAAATTTCCACCTGTCTTGTTTCTGTCTACCCTGATTCCCAAATATGTTCTGTGGTTGACCTATTTATTTATTTACTTATTTAATTAAGTTGGCCAAAACCAGTTTCTTACAACAAGTTTCTTATCTTTTCCTTTCTTATCATTTTTCCTTCTTCTGGATCTCAGAAATCCCAGTGAAGTTTGCCAAAAAACTTGAAGCTGTTAATGCTGAGATTGGAGGCAGCGTCTCTTTGACCTGTGACGTGAGCCACGCCAGAGGGAAGGTGGTGTGGCGCAGGAATGGAGTTGAGATCAAGCCCAGCAAGCGTTTCCAGATTCACGAAGAAGGGGTCAAACGAACCCTGACAATAACAGGGATCCGGGCTGAGGATGAGGGAGAGTACTCCTGCGAGTCCAGAGATGACAAGAGCACCATCACCATCATCCCCAAAGGTATGTCTCTAACGGTGACAGTGTGGAGGCATCCTGGGGTTTGCCCTCAGCTGTTACAATTCTGCAAAGCTGAGTTTGTTCATTTGTTTTTGCTGTCTCTTGCATTGACAGCAATATAAAAAACTCCTCCACTTCCTTTCTCAGAGCCAGTGAACCCCTATTTGTGAAGAGCATAATGATTTTGAGAGCTGTTTAGCTCAGGTCTCTTAATATGTGGGCAAATTCCTATTGCATTTGAGACTGGAATTAAATAGCCCAAATCTAAGATGGGATTTTTTTTCCCCCTCTTTGTTTGACTCTTTTTTCTGGCATCTTTATACACAAAACTTAGACGTGGGAAACGTGATGACCCATTATTGTGATCACTTACTGTGAGTAATAAAAATTGATGCTTCTGATAAAATCATCGAAGCTTTTGGCTCTTTGAAGGTGCTTATGCCATGTCTCAAAGACAAGCTCCTGAATGTTCTGTTCCTATCCATCAGCTCCCAGAGTGGTGAAATTCATTACAAGCCTCACCAGCGTGGTCTCTGAGGAAGGAAAAGAGGCTGTGTTCAAGTGCACCGTCTCTCCCAGTGATGCTGTGGTCACTTGGCTCAGGAATGGCGTCAAGATTGAAGCCAGCAAGAAGTATGTGATCTCGCAGAAGGACACGAACCACAGCCTCACCATCACTGATCTGACGCTGGAAGATGCAGCTGAAATCTCCGCCAATGCTGAGGGTGTAGAAAGCAGAGCCAATCTCAGAGTCCGAGGTAGGAGGAGATAATCCCCTCTGACCAGCTGTCACTGATGCTTGTGACCTGTGCTCTTTTATGCGGCCTTCCCTCTGACTGATTATGTCAGCAGTAGGGAAATTCTGCTTTCATCTCATTAAATATGGATGATTTTGGGTCATTTGGACTGGAGATACATGAGCCACAGTTTAATTTTTTTTCTGAAAGCCTGTGTTTTTATATCCTCTACATTCTTACTAGTATTTCTTCTCCTTTGGCAGAGGCTTCAATCTCCTTCAAGAAGAAACTGGAGCCCAGAACAGTTGAAGAGAGGGACACAGTGACCTTGGAGGTAGAGCTGACCAAGCCTGCAGAAGTGAAGTGGATGAGGAACAGCATCGTGTTAAAACCCAGTGAAAAAGTAGAGATTAAAGCTGAGGGAACAAAGCACACCTTGGTGGTTAAGGACATCTCCTTTGCAGACAGGGGCTTCTACTGCTGTGAGAGTCCTGATGACAAAACCCAAGCCAAGATCAACGTGGAAAGTAAGTTGAATGATCTCCAGTTCTATAAATACGCTGGACAGGATTTGGAGGTGGATTCTGGTCTCTTCCATTACCATAATGGCCACTGCCACCCCCAACCTGCCATGGGGACACATGGACACAACCATGGGCTTGGCCACCAGTCAAATGACTGAGAGGAGGTGAAAGCAAGGGCAGTAAACAGAGAATGTCTGGCTGGTTCCTGTTGCCTCCACCTCATCCCACCAGCTTTCGGTCATGTTGTTGACTGTTCAGCTTCTGAAATGATTCTTCTCTTTCCTCTGAAATTCCTCACTCTCTGGTACGCTCTGTTTTTAACTTTGTATGGCTTTTAGAAAACCGTTCCCTCTTCAGCCATCCATTGCCCTCATTCTTCTCTGCAAACCACTTCTTTCAGAATTCTCTTTATAGTCAGTCAGGGTTAAAAAAACTACAGGAGCAAATCTTCTATCTGAGGGTGCTGGCCTTTCCAGTTAGCTAGCAGTGTCTCAGCTGTAGCCTGTACTTCTGTCCTTTTTCCTACATCCTTTTGTTGTGATTGTTCCAGGACAGATGAAGACAGGATTTAAGCACTTAAGGACTATCTAATTCTGTCTGTAAAGCCCCTGCCGCCAATTGGTGCTGCTTAGGTCATAAATAATAAGTAAGGAAGGACTTGATAAAAGACTTCAAGTGCATAAAAGGCTGTTATAAAGCGGAAGGGAACAATCTGTTCTCCATGTGGAAAAAATGACAGGAAATAATGGACTTCAATTGCAACGAGAAAGATCCAGTTTTACAATAAAGGAGTTTTTTAATGGTTGGATGACTGAATAGGTTGTCTGGAGACGTCTTGGAGCCTCCATCATGGGCTTAAGAAAAGGTTAGTGAAATACCTGTCTGGGATGACGTAAAGAGCTGAGCATGTCCTAGAGTGGGAGAGAAGGGCTAGATGACTTTTCTAAGTCTTTCCAGCCTTATTATCTTGTGGTCTTCTGGTGGAAGCAAAGATATCAGAAACTGGTAACAGACTGCCTCATACAGAGCAAGGTTTGTCAAATTGCTTCCGTGCACTGCTAAGACAGCTTCATCTTCAAAATCTTCCTGGCTGATAGCTGTTGAAACCCCACTGCTTTACCATCCCAATACAGGGCAGTTACTACGCCTATTGGCGGTTGCTCATCTTTTTTTCCAAACCGGACAGCTCTAGAAAAAACCCAGGCATTAGCAGGGACTAGCAGCTGGTAGATTAGTCTTGGATTCATGAAGCCTCAATCTAGCACATTACTTTCAGCTCCTTCTGTAGCTAACAGAGGGAAGAAAATACCACCAGAGAGTGTTCAAAGTCTTAGATGCACTAGAACTTCTGAAGTGTCTGAGTACTCAAGACACCATGAGCGACTATGATTCTGATTTAGAGCTAGATCCAGATTTACTGTCCTCTCAGTTAAATCAGATGAACTGGATCCAGAGAAGATAAAAAAATACAGCAATTCTACAGCCACAGTGTGTTGGAAGTGCAGTATAGGGCACTTCGCTTCTCCATCCTCTCGCACACGTTGCACCCCAAAGCGGTTTTTTTCCAGACTTGGGGCGATACTCCTTTTCCTTCCAGTAAGGTATTTCAGCAGTTGGTTGTAGATTCAGCTACATTTGTTTTTAGGCACCGACTGTTGCTATAGCCAAGTGGTAAAAACAAAAATGATGGAACAGTGTTTATATAGGAAGTAATTGGGCAGTCCTGGTAGCTGTCAACAGCGTTTTGTGCAAGGTGAGTCATGCAAGCATGAACGTCCCTCTGCCTCTGGTTTGTGAACCTCCTCTTCTGACAGAGAGAGGGTTTGGCTTTGTGCTTCCCAGGCACCCAGCTGCATTCTCATCACTCACGGTTAGTGTCACTGTAAAAAGCAGCTCCTCTGTGGATGAACTGAGATAGTTTCACGCACTGATGGAAACTCAAGGTGATCTGAGAGGGACCACGATCAAAAAGCAGAGTGGGATCACTGTAGCAGGAAATTCTTTTTGCGTATGATGACCCAAGCCTTAGCTATAAGATGCTGCAGGACAGGGGCCATATACAAGAATCTCGCTAGTCTATATGTATTCTGCATCCAAGTCCTCCAGCTGAGGCAGCACGGAGCTCTCACACTGCTTTACAGCAAAAGCAGGACTCTCAAAGTAGAAGTCTAAAATTATGCTTCATTTTTTGGCATTTAAGCAAACGGCTTCTTTTCAGTAGAATGTATTAGAGCTTACATTGAGGTCAGCAGAAGTTCTTTAAATGCTCACGGTCTGGCAAATTGAGCTACTACTATTTGGTGCTCAGCTTTAGGTTAAGGTGCCTGATTTTAGAGGACCTTTATTTAAAAAACACAAAGCTGGACTGACACTGTTTTATCTGAGATTTCTTTCAGACCGAGGTAAATAAGGAATAGCTAGGTGAAAAATCCATTGATTTATGCCAGCATAGAAGTTGCTTCATCAAAAAATAAGCATCTGTCCTGATCTTAAGATGCCAGGAGATCTTAAAAACAACTGAGCTGCTCAAACCAGTAACATGTCTGGCTGAATATCTATTTTCAGTTGTGACCAAGAGGAGATGTTTGTGGAAGACTAAGTCAGTCAGTCATGGGTAAGGTGATCCTTCCTCTGACACACCTCTAAGCT